GCCCCCTCCAGCCCTGAGTACCTTCGACTTGTACCACTCCTCTGCTTCCTGCAGGTTCTTCATGGCGATGCTCTCATACTGGGTGCGAATCTCCCGCAGAGCGGCCGTTAGCTCTGGCTTGCAGACCTCCACCTCCACTGGCACCACCGGGCTCGGGGCACTCACCTCCAGGTCCCGCAGCTCCTGCATGGGCACACGGGCTGCCACATTGCAGCACATGGACCTCCCCTCCATCCCACCCCAGCTTCCCCAGCCACCCACCTCCTCATGCAGCTTCTTGAGGAAGCCAATCTCATCCATCAACAGCTCCACTTTGCGCTCCAGCTCCAGACGGGACAGCGTGGCATTGTCCACATCCTGTGGATAGAGGTCAGGGCAAGCTGTGGGACAGCACTGAGGGGACAGGGCCCTGCCCAGGGCAGTGCAGGATGGGGGCCTTCACACACGGGCAACTGGGTAAGGGGCCATGGGCACAGGCATCATCGGTGTGCACTGCACAGGGGAGGACGGGGGAATGGGTACTCTTTAGGGGGACGGGCCCCCCAGCCCCCTCACCTTGCGGAACAGCACCAAGCTCTTCTCTGCATCCTCCCGCTTCTGTGTCTCATCCTCCAGCCTGGGGACAACAGGAGTGAGAAGAAGAGGGGGACAGGGTGCAGCCCCCCCACTTTATGTCTCCTGCTAGAACCCCCTGCCCTGCTGCAGCCCCTCACACGCTGCAGGCACATGAGGATGGAGGAGGAGGAAAAGGAGCTCCTCCCCCCAGGCCTGAGCCACCTCCTCCTTGCTGCCCCTGGGAAGGGGCAGCCCTGGGGTGTCCCTGTCCTTGCACAGTCAGGACAGGACCAGCCCCTACCACAGGACCCCACCCAGTCCCTGTCCACACTGCCCCGGGGCAGCCCCCCAGGGCCCCTCACTGGGACACGCTTCTCCCCCGGGGGGTCCAGCCCTGCCCTGGCCCCCACCAGCTCCCAGTGCTCGTCTGCCCCGCCCTTCCGCAGAGCCCGGCTCTCCCGGTCCCACCTCCCCAGCGCACCCCGGTGCATGCCGTGTCCCCCTCCCCACTGGCGCATCGCCCGGGTCCCACCTCAACATCCCCCTGCATGACCCACTCCCTCCCCGGGGCGCCCGGGCCTTCTGTGTATCCCTCATCCCCAACCCGGTGCATCCCCTGCTCCCCACTCCAACGTCCCCCGGTGCACCCTCCCCAGTCCCTGTCACGTCCACATCCCACGGTGCATCCCCAGTCCCCATCCCCATACATGGCCGATCCTTCTCTGGTGCATCCCCTGGCCCCCATCCCCCCAGCATCCCCCGGTTCACTGCCCATTCCCGCCCGCTGCACCCCCCGGC